CCATCAATAACTTGTCAACCATGGGCTGTTCATTCGTGAGCGCAAGGTCCAATGTGGACGGTTATTTTATCTGGTTTGGATCTAGTGAGCTTGGTGACATGATTGTACAAGGGAATATTAGTGATCACTTCATGCAAGTCTGCTTTGAACTGTTTACTGGGTGATGCAGATACCTCCAAATCGTGTAGATTGAAGCCCCAGGAGATGAGAATGTAGCTGTATCTAGTGCGTGTTACTCTGTTCAAGACACGCATCAAGAGGGGAATGCATTTCCAGAGTGGATGATAAACATCATTGTGTTTTAGTCGAAGATAGCAACAGAGTGCGTCAGTAACGTGAGTTTCCAGATTAGTAACTATTGCACAGGGCAAGTCACCGCGATAGTAGAGTAGGACGCCATCTCCTCTGCTGGGGCGGTCTTTCCGGATGAGTGACATCCCGGCTATCTCAAACACAACATTAGTCAGCTCTTGGTACAACCAAAATTCGGTACTAGCAATTAGATCCCGAGCATTCGCAACCTGACGTAGTCGAAGTTCGGTAAATTTAATGAGGAGCCCTTAGGCGTTAGTGTACATACATGAAAGTTTCTCCGATTTAAGCAATATTTCGGCGATTGTGCAACTCATACGTGAAGTTTCGCCAACCAGTGAATGACCGGGAACTAATTGTTTTTTCAGGGTGTACTTGGAGAAAGGGTTAACATTTTATTCATCGTCCGCGTATTAAGTCCCATGTCTAATATTCTACGTACAGTGTAAGGTGTCCAGTCAATATCATCTTCAGCACGTTGTATGGGCTCATTAGACACAATATTGGTGCATTGTACTTTTATAGATCCCGTCGCATTTGGTTCTTTGAGTGACATATCATCGCTAGGAGGCATATCACTGACTGTCTTCAACCGAACCTCAGATGGTAGCCTGCAACGGAACATGTACCAAAATATTAGCAGCCGTGCTATCATATGTTTCGACTGAAGGACTATCTACAACACTCTCGGGCCAGTTCCTCTGTAGTTCGTTAAGGTACGCAGCCGTGACACGGATTTCGCTAACACATCATCCAAGCAGAGGGTTTCACGAATATAATATTACTGTTCTTTCCCATGGGTTATTATTTCATGCTCATCACATGCTTCAGTTTCAGGAACCCCGTGAGGAAGTGTGCTTCTGGTTGACGTTTCCTTCCGGTAGTCCTCTAAGTGCGGTTAACTCGACAACGCTCGCCCCATGGGATGTCTGGAAAGATACCGATGGACCAGTGTTCATTTCTGAGACTAACTGTCGACAGTAGTACTGATTCTACTTCAGTGATGGAGTTCAGCACAACACGAAGAAGTCATGACTCTCCGAAATGCTTAGAGTTGGGGTGCCGCGTAATACGCACTACGTGTAAAGGTTTCAGTACAACTCAGATTAGATTACTAATAATATCCCACTGGTTGAGGCCATCCAACTACCAGTCTCTGCTTGATGTCGACTTTGATTCTGGGATATAGGAGCACAGTACGTGCAGTCCAGGTAGTTGTTTCTTTACATCTTTCGACAAGTTGCATTTAGGGCTTGAAATACTCGGAGCTGTACCACAGGAAACTGGTGGTGCTTGCACTACAAAAACTCCGCTACGCTCCACAGTTTCCGATCCAGTTGGGGGTGAAGTTAATTTTAAATGACGGCTGTTCTTGGGGGCAACCGTAACCCAACTTTTGCTCGTACCGGCTTGCACATTTTTACGCACTCGGTCGGGAGTTTGGTAGTAGCCTTACGCGTAGTTACTGCAATCGAACTAGGAACCGCATTAGTCAAATGAGAGCCATGTGTAGTATTGGAACAGCACTTGATGTTCTGGGCTCTTGGTGTCATGTTGCTTACGGTATTACTAGCCGTTCTCCGTATAGGAGCACCACTTACTGGAGAGCCTTTACTCGCACAATCCGCTATGCTTACCCCAACCGTAGTGATTTTCGTGGTCACCGTTTCTGCAAACTTGGCTGGTAACTGGTCATACTTCTGAGAAAATAGGAGCACGCTTTTTATCATTGAGATAGATGTGCATTTCACGCAAAACCATAGAGGATCTGGTTTGTTTAATAACTTCGCCTGATTAGGTTTAATTCAGAAGCTTCTCGTATGGAAATTTTTACAACAGTTACGGCTCAAAATGCCCCCCTCACAAGTTTGGAACATGGTCCACATAGGTCTTTAGACTGTGGCACACTGGGCATCGAGAGGGGTGAGGAAATATTACCAACCATTTGAATGACTCACCCATTATGGTAAAAATTTGTTCGATTACTGATGTTGTCAGCAATGTCACAGTGTTCATGATGCAATTGTGTGCTCGCAGACGTGCCATTGAATCTGTCAACGTGAAGGTGGAGCAGATTACACCTGGGTGTGATTGAGAATTTTCGTTGTGAAGCCTTTGGATCGCGCCGTGGGAATTTGCCTTGAGATCTGTAACTGCACCAAACAAGGTTGGATTTGAACGAGTGACATTTCGTTCGAAACCGTTGAAATGGTCTATCGAATGAGACCAAACAATGTCTCCGATGGTTGGAGTTACGCAACTTTTGGCGCTTGGATATCGGCGAAACGCTGCCCGGAATTTAGAATTCCGGGTCAATGTAGAGTGCACTGGAGTGTATTTGAGAAAATACTATCAAAAGATGGAGCATTTAAAAGCAGGAAGAATAAGTATAGATCCAAATGTGTGCGACAAAATGTCGCTGAGCCACAGTGAAAAAACCACTAGCACACAAGTGAGCGATTTGCACGCACGTTCGATTATGTTCAAAACAAAACTTTTCAGCAACGGGGTTGACAAGGCTACCAATTGTTGAGTTTGCTTGATGGATACAGGCTATCCCCTCCAGACTCTGGTGCTTTATCTCAAGAATTTTAGGCTTATAGTTAGTTTGTAGTGTACCTTTTACATTTTACTACACAACCTTCCGGTCAGCTGATAACATCACCAACTGTATCGATCATTCTCTGAAACACCTCATACACTTCAGCATCGACCGACATTCCTTTTTGAATCGCCGGCTGACTCTAGACCACCTCGTGTACGACATCTGGGAGCACCAAAATACAATCATTGGAATACACGTTTTCAATCCCTTTTGGCATCCAAGAAAGACGGGTTGTTAGTCCAGGAACTCCGCAACCAAAAAGCGTTACCACATTACGTGTTGACCAAAATACTATAAGTGGAGACGCTAAGTGGATACGATAAGTTCACAAATCGGGAAATCCTGAAGCGTTCTCACATCTGTCATCGAAGGATTTGGGCTGATGGTTCCACAGCTTCATTTCGACATTAGCTTTGAATCAAAGTCATGTTTCGTTTGCTGTTCTATATCGAGTTCTGTCTGAGATGCTCGTTTTTAATACCATTTATCTTCTACTCTGTTTGCCGCTATCTCCAGCCATGATTGAGCCACCGGACATTTGACTAAACAACGTAATGGACAAGAAGGGACCAATAAGTTTCACTTGCGTGGACATAGTTTAGCAAGAACGTAACGGCAGGAGAGCACGATCACTACTGGACACTTCAGCTGTTTAATTTTCTACATACGAGCAGATACTTAAGCGACGTATCCGTCCCACAAAACATCACACATGATAACTCAATGGCCAACACACAGCTGCGCCCACTTGCCCCAAGCTGATGAATCTTCCGTGCCTATTTGGCCCGTAGCTTCGCTTCCGCACGTCGAATTCAAACCAGGCTGGATATGTTTTAACCCAGTTTTGTTTGTTAACCGTTACATTAGCCAGCCTGGGGTTAATTTTGGTGGTACCGACAAATACGCATCTGTTTGCTTGATTGATCTTTCAACCAACTCCGCGGCTCTCCTTGTTTCATGCCTGGTACCGTTCGTGCTCGCTACTCATCCTCAATTCGTTCAGTAGTGTTTGCGTTGCGTCGTCTGATTGCTTTCATGATGCATGTGCCTGTCTGCTTTCTCTCTTCCCTTTCCATTGTTTTGACTTCAGCAATCCTAAAGTAGGAGCAGTGTATAGTTTTGCGATTCTCGTTCTCCACGACCCCCTTGAGGAGATGTGTCAGACATTGGAAGCCTATCCTGCTTGTGATTGCTTCCATAACTGCAGCCACCCAAAATGACTGTTCTATTGTCCAGCCAAATAGCAAGTACTACACACATGAGGTCGTTTATTCAAACAAAACATCCGTCAACAAATCTATGTTGGGTGCAGTACAAAAAGTAGCTTGATTGCCCCGTTACTGATCTCATTGTTTGCTCATCCATCGCGATATCAATTGATATCAATAGAGGTTGCAATATTCCATAATGTTCTCTCCTTGTGTAGAAAGGAACGGTGCAGTACAATTGCAAGTTGGGCTCTGGTGCATAAAATGATTGCTGTGTAACCGCTAATTGCAAACAGGTTCCACATGACAACCACCTCAATTACATCCTGCACCAAGTCGCCGTTAACAGCAGGGCGAAATCTCGATCGGATGCGCTTCCCCCTGCAGCGGCATGTTTATGATAAGCGTAACTTGGAAATCGCACTGCATCAATTCGGAAAAAGTCGGGGGAACACTCATCAGAGCTTACGACGCATTTTAATTACAAAACGAAATCAACCGCTGCTTCGTTCCCTTTAACCTTCGTCTACCGGGATTAAAGCGGACTTGTAAACCATTCGCTTATCAATTATGGGGAGACAAGTTTGCATTACTTCGTGGGAGGATACAGCTGCGTTGTTTTCCATTGACAGGTCGCAAACCAGTGACACAGTGAGGCATCGCTGCATCAGATTAGCGGTTCACTGATAGCTGATTTCTGATAACACATTACATCGTTAGCATCTCACAGTTGCATCATTTACATAATCTTGCTCGTTCCCACCTGTATTCTTCTGCAAGTCATTTTCAATTATGTATTCTGAAACAGGGTGATGCACAAGTTAATTGTCGTGTCGGGCTACTTCACTGCAGGTCCCGGAATTGGAATAAGCTCGATGCGGTGCTTCTGCCGACATCATCTGCCCATACTATTGAAACAAACACGGACAGTAAGTACGATGTGCGTGCACAACCACTCACTGACCAGCAGTCAAAACAACATTACCAGATAAACAATTCCATGCGGGGGGGGGGCAGAAAGGAGTTGGCTTGTCTTACTTCTGTGTCACTCGCTGAGTGGAATACAAACATTCAACCCTCATTCGCCTTGGTTTCGCGGACACTTTGGATGAGCTACATGTGTGGTGCGGGGTTGAAGCCTGCCAAATGACGGCATGGGTGATTGATACTTTCCCAGCTTGATCTCTTGACATACAAGCACTGAAAAAATTACTGTATTAAATGCACGCGGCAACTGAGCGGGATACAATGGGGCTACCCAAAGATCTTGTGCCTACCATCTTCGTCCTAGGCATCAACAGCATGTCCTATTCCAAAATGGTGGAAGTTCTTAAGACCTAAGTGGTGATGACCACAGCATCCATTTTTCGATTATGGAGAAACGCGAAGTCAATGCCTGGAGAAACCGCGAGGTCTCCGGTGTTGCTACGTAGTGACTAGTCTACAAAAGATCGTTTTACCAGTTCAGCGATTTCTCACGAATCAGCATTGTTAATGACGAGCGCTAGTGAGGCTAAATTACATTCCAGATGCGTACCCACATGAAACCGACTTACCATTCAAGTCTCGCTAACGTTCCATCCAACACCAGTCGATAGTAGAGGTCATCGGGCTGGCCCAGTAACAACTGGGATTCAAACCGATCCGACCACCTAAGTAAATCCACCCAAAGGAAGAATATCAGCCCACCGCTGATTAACCATGTGCATGCGCACATGGACAGATAGCAACATTAACCGATTAGGGGGCCAGTCTGTTCGAACTACACAGAAAATACACCTGTCCTGATCTCCTCGATTCAGATGTATGTTCAGTGCCTACTAATCCACTGCAACCTTGAAGGATGAAGGCGATTATGACCATCCGCTGAACTGTTTCCAGAAGCGCTGAAAGTGAAAATAGGAGACAATCTAAGTATTGGATAGTAAGCAGGCGAAAACCGACAATTGCATGATGTGGTTTGACCCTGATTTTCATCTCAACAGACTTGCTGTCATAGCTGACATGCGACAATTAAAGAGGTGTGTTTTGTTAGATTGAACACGAGAAACTAATCACGCGATTCCTTGCATGAATTTACGAAATGCGGCTGCAGTATATGCGCATGTTCTGTTGCACAAGCGACGGCATTAACGTGATTAATATCGGTTGTTTAGGTACGCAGAAATGCATCCTATCCTGAGTTGAGGTCAAGCCACCCAGAACTCCCGAGTTCCGACAATATATTATCACCGGATGTCTGTAAAACCCCGTTGTGGGATCTCATAAGCGGAATCCCGTCGGAAGTAGTAGCGAGACGAGTGGTACCTTATAGACTCGGTACAAGTGTAAAGCACAACGAATGTGGAATTTGATCAGTTGTAATCGGAGAGACAACAAAAGTCGCTGGAACGCGAACATTAGAAATTGTCTTCTGAGCAGGAGTGATTTACAAAGGCATGGTTGGTTATCGTTTGCTTGCGTTTCAACGCTTATGCACTGCTGACCTGCTATTGCGTGACAAGCTATCGCAGTTATCGTTGGACGTTTTCCATCTATGTTCACAGTGCAATACAGTAAATACTATTCGCTATGCAGTCTGGAGATACAGGTAACCCTTTGTCAGTTCATTCGAGGATTTGAATGCACAAAACCCTCATTGACCCAACAAGTCATCCTTTTAGTGAGGATTGCTATCACGGCATTTTCACAGCTTCTCAGCACAGATAGTGTCAGCCTAGAATTATGACCACGGGGCAGTAGAGCCTGTCACGTATACTTATCATGGGAGCGCCGTGATGACAACGTCATTCCCTCACCAGAGCCGATGCTTCAAAATACCGATATGCCGTGACATCTCACAGATAAGGCAAGGCAATGAGTGCGATTGCGCGATCAACCTTGTAGGTAGGGTTCGGTTCCATAGTGGCGTGAAATTTCTCACAAGTTTGGACGTCTGTGACCCAACTAATACGCACTCTAGACACCCACTGGAGGACGTTCGATGTGGTGAAAATTGAATTCACATATTAGGATTCGGTATTAAGGTGCTGATAAGATCAGTATACAAAGAGTAAAGCTTGATCTGCTAACCTCCATAAAGTGCACCAAAATTTGTCTGGAAGCTCCTAATAACTATGCAAGAGCACTCCACAAGTTTACTTGGCGAAATGGGACACAGAGCGGTCGGTCTAAGCCCAGATTTGGTAAGCGTATTTGTTACTCGCAGTTAGTGAACCAGTTTAACTGACTTTGTCGCATTCTGAAGCCCAGGTCCTCGGATCGGATTACACACATCGTCCACCGTTAGCATTCGACAAGAAACCAACCTCAAGAGTGTAGCACAGCTTCGGTAACAGGTTTATTGCGGCCTCTAGTAGAGAGTAGTAGGGTGCGATGCATGAAATCTAATTGAGTTCTGGGTTTGCAGCTCAAATTCACTTAAAACCTTCAGCATCGACATAATACGTATCGTTCCAAGTAAGTAGCTGTCGCCTGTTTCCTAGAACCTATCAGTTCGTTTCTTTATCGACCTATTTGACAAATGAGTTCTTGTGCATCGCAAGCCTGGGAAGAACATCCTCAGAACAGTGACCAGTTGTCACTGGTATTAGTTCAGATAGACCACCAAATGTTTGGGGCGATCGGCTGAACTTCTTGTCCACGAATTCAGCGCACTGCAACTGCTTGGTTTGCAGTGGATAACACTTGCAGGAGGAACCTAGTAATGCTCGAAATTGTTCACCTGGCGCCGTCCCGGTAGGTGAGCTACAGTTATCAGACGCGGGCACGGTGTTTCGATCGTGAACATACGGGAAGTGAAATCAAAAGTCGTACTTAACTTTGTTCGATTATTTCGGTGCGTACTTCTCATTTACGATAATCCATGCGCCCGGCACGGAAAGGTGTCGTGATATTAACCAATTCAATATGGGATACTGGAGGAGACGATTGTAACAAACGAACAGCCTTTTACCCCTGCAGAACTCCGCATCTTGGGTGAGAGATTGCATTTTCGGCACTTGCTCACCAATTGTTGTCTTGATCCCTAAAGCGCAAAGGTCGAGTAGACAGCAAATGCTAGAAAATTTCTGCGTCAGATACAAGGAGGGGCTCAAGGAATCTTACATCACGATGCACAGTGGGAGGAGACGGCTAAACTTCTCAAAGCCTGAACCGATTCCACTCAGCTAAATTATATGTGGTCGGAAGGGCACAACCTATTTCAACATGCACAATCCTGAACTACCAATGAAGAAAAAGCTTTCTGTGACTACGTAGAGTAGATGCAGTCTGCACATCGTTCCAAAACGCTGTGAACACTGTTGTGTACTCCGTATCCCCCGACAACTAGTTGTGAGGCCCGGGAACCAGTAGTACACGCGGTGACATCGTAGGATTAGACGTCCTATCAGCTATCTACATGAGCGCATTCACATCTGGAGTGACGCAGTGACAAACGTCACACCTGCGTCAGCTGCATCAGCAGCGGCACACTCCCAGCGCCCTTGCGATGTGTCTATGGATCAGAAGAAATTTTGAGAGCAATGCGGATTTGCTTGTCGTTAGAGTGTAGAAGGCGGCTCCATTAAACTCACAAACAGCCTGCGTTATTCGGCACTCGCTATTAGATGAAATTGTACGAGAGAAGTCTGGCTATGTATGGTTCCCACAGTTCACGTAGGCTCGTTCAATGGAATCGACTCGTCAACAGTAGGAGAAGGGATGCAGTGAACCACAGACGCATCCGAAAGCTACGAGTATGCATCGCTCAAAGGTACCGAAGTGATCTTGTTACGAGGGTATGGCAGCTCTACTTGTGCCGATGGGCGAAATGCGCGATGGATGTAACCAGGCTGCTACTTTTGGTCCCGAAGCATGTATCGGTTGGCTTGTTCAGTTTTGGTCTTCAGTGATTAAACTCATCCGTACTGCTGAGCAGACGCTGAAGGGTTGCGCGTAATATCCACCACTGTCATGACTGCAAGCGGTGGGTGTATGGTTGCTGGCGATACGATGATGAGGTCGAATGGCAATAAAAGCGCAGGACAACGGTGGTGGACACGCATACGAGATAAAAACAGCATTTTAGAGTCTATTTACTTAGGTTATATCGATTCGTTGGCGACACCCCAGGGCGAAGGGATGCGAGTACATTAGGTTTATTGGACAGGACAGTTATTCAGGGGAGTCGAGGATGGTTGAACAACGGACGCTGTCCAGACCGGATACATTTACGTAATCATATATGCATCTGCTTGTGTTGGGCTGAGGGTAGCCTGGTGAAAATTCTCGTTTGATGCAGCCAGAAATCGATGTCCGCGAATAATCTGCATTGCGGCTTTATTTGACTTAAGTAACACGGTTTTCCCAACAGACTACCTGAATTGGTGGTGAGAGTGTGATCATTGGGCAGTGTTACTGGGTGGTGAGGAGTCGGAGAAGAGATTTGAAGTGCGATGAATCGGCATCATATTGAATCAGGGTAACATGGACACCATTGAGGAACTTTGGTGCTATGCTATTGGCCACCAACGCTATGTATGCTGAAGGTGCAGCTGACGTGGTGATGTCTGTAGAAGGTATGTTCGTTCTCCGCTTTTACTCCAGTAGTTACCTAAAATAAATATTTTGTCGAGCTGGGTTGGAAATGACCTGAAGCGGCTGTTATGGCGGTGTCACTTGGCCACTCCATCAAACGAAATATATCTGATGGATGATGTTGCCAACTAGTAGTTACAAGACAGCTTTCACCGGACAACATTGAATTGTACCCTAACGTGTATCTGAAACTATGAAGGATTACATAATGATTCTCACGGTGGCATCTGGGAGGCGTCTGATGTCTGCAAGTTAGTCATCGCATTGCGGCAAATGTGGGTTGAAAGTAGCCGGTGTTTTACGGTGTTCAACACTCGTTCAGAAAAAGCGCGTGTCAAGCTATATGCGAATCACAAGTCATAGCGCTCTCTTGTGTTGGGTTTGTGTGCGGTTTCGCGCTTTCCCAACCTGTACAGAGGAAGCCGCCAGTTTGTCTCAGACTGCTGGATGTGTAGACAACCAACGCCATGGGTCAACAGTTAGCATTAGAAAATTGCAATAACTCGCTGATCATTAACGAGACACTTGATTGTTCTACAACTTCTTAACGATTGAGTTTGTGGGGTTATC